ATTACCCCACGCAGGAAAATGAAGGACTACAGGGGCCGGGGCTCCTTCTTTTCACAGAGAAGGAGATGCCCCATGAGGTGGGGCTGTCGAATGAGAAGTGAGGAACACCTTGAAGGAAGCAGCGTCACCGCACTGGCCAACGTGGACCACCGTGAAGAGCCTGCAGGGCTGCGTCCCTCCCCCACCCCCCCCCGGGCTCGGGAGGGCCCGAAGTGAGCCCGGCCCCTTCACCGCCCTGCAAATCCCTGCCCCTGTTCAAGATCCCCCTCCCTATTCCCTTCCCGCCGACTCACAGTCACTCTGCGCTGGGACCCGAGCCTGGTCACCCAGCCTCCACCTGTCCCCTCACATTGGGCCCCCGCACGGCAGCGGGGCCTTTCTGAGACGCAGTCGTGGCTCCCCGAGTCCCCTGGCCCCAACCCTCTCTCACTGCACCCAGACCGAGTCCAAACTCCCGGGGCTTGGGGCACATGGCCTTCAGGACCAGCCTGGCCTCGTCCCCAGCCTGGCCCCACCCACCTGCTGACTCCTGGCCGCCCAGAACACGGGCCTGCAGCTCCGCCAGGCCTTTGTACACGGGCCTCCTCCTGGGCCACCTCCCTGCCTCCTTGTACTCACTCCGCGGCCTGGCCGGGCCCTGCTTGCCCAACAGGCTCTGATCTAAGGAACCGACTGGAGAGCCCTGATGCCAGGAGCGTATCTGAGCCACCCACTGCCCAGCCTGGCCTCGCTGTGGCTGAGCCGCACTCGGGGGGGAGGGGGGGGTTCTAACAGCATGTGAACGGGGGATGGATGATGATCTCCCGATTCTGGACAAGGACGCTGAGGTCTATCCCGGAAGGCCACATAACCAGCCCGAGGGACAATGGCTGGGAACCTGCCTCCTTCAGTGCAACACCTGCCAGCAGTCAGGGCCTATGGCCACTAGAGGGCGCAGGAGGATAAGCGCCAGGTGCCCCGTGGCAGGGCCCAGGCAGGGGGGTGGCCGGACAGCCACCTCTGGTTTAGCTCACGGAGGCCCTCCAGGCTCCTAGTGGCAGCACAACCTTTACGGCATATTCCAGGGCTCTGTTCTGAGAGTCACCGAGGCCAGTGCC